AAGACAGAAGCATCAAATGGTGCCTGAAATAAAATTAAAAGGCCTCATTAAGGCTTACAGTAAAGAGGGCTAAGAAATTCCCGAATTACTTTTGGTTTACATGAGACTTTATTCAGATTGTGAACTTAAGATGAAATCTGGAACAAACATGCAGCTCCCAGCTTTACTATTTGCAGTCTATAAAGAAACCAAATACAGGTTATCTGTAGCACATCTGTATATATCTGCACACACAATTCTTGGGCATCAGTGAGTGTTTGAGCTCTCATTAGAACTGTAAGTCAGCATGTATTATTGTTCTCATATATACCACAAAATATATGTTATTACAGCCTCCAGAACCAGACACTCTAACAGCTGTTTAAGAATCTTTGGCAAATTTACATTTGTAAGTGGAATGCACTTATTCTTACTAAAGCTCACCTACCTGTACTGCTGATGAATGACCAATCAAATCACCAACCAGCTCCAAGAAATACATAGGTGTACTCTCCTGCATCTTCTTAGCAGCTTGGTTAGTTTGCTTGTTAGACCTTCCAAATCCCCACATATTGAAAAAACCTGGGAAAACAAACAAACAAACAAACATACATCTTTAAATTTAGCAAAAGTCACAAACACAATTTATTTTCTCTAGCCAAGAGAGAACTCGAGAAGTCACTTAAAATCTAAAAGGAGGACCATCTGTGTGGCAAAATGACAGAAGCACTGTACTGTGCAGCATTTCTACATTTGGATTGTTCACCTTGAGAGGAAAAGGAAACCTAGCTACTTTGTCTTTTGTCCTTACTTGATGTAAATTAGACATGTTGAATTACTCACCTGGATAAGACAATGTACAGATTTAGCAAGAAATCCAAGGACTGCCTAAATGAACTAATTGAATAGCAAAGGCGGATGCAGGACACTGATGTTTACTTTTGCTCTGTCCTCCTAAACTCTTACTTCTGCAAAGAGGAGAGAAAAGAGGTGCTAGTTTCTCTCTTGTGTGTCCTGCTTGTTTTTTGTGCCAGCTGCTTTTCTGCAAACTTCTCTTAAGCTTTCTACACAAGGTCCTGCAACTATTTGCTCCTGCATGGCAGAAGATTCAGCACTATTCAGTAGAAGAAGTGGATCAGAGTTTGTCAGAACAGGTCACAGTTTTTGTTAAACCAGCTGATACAACTATAAACTTTATATAAGCTTTACAGTACTGAACTGCTTCAGCTGGACTTTTTAACTTCCTGTGTCAGACCTTGGAGAGCTTGTACCCCCATGTGCTCTTCAGTTTCCCTGCCATAGCTGCTAGCAGCTGGTTGAACATAAGACACTAGCTCCTCTTACAAAGCCTGTAAGCCACTCTATTCCTATATGGTGAATATTATGTTTTAATTGTTCTTTTCACCCCCCCCCCAACTAGCAAACCTGTTGGAACTGGCTCAGCGGGTAGCTGCTGCTTTTCTCGGAGCTCCCAAATGCGCACACTGCCATCTTCTGAACAGGAGATCAGCTGCCTGTAAAAACGGCTGATAAGCAAAACTAGCACAGATACTTGACTGTACCAGCCTCTATGTGATGTTTCTATGAAAGTCACCAAGTGCCTCATATTCTACACAAGTTTGCTAGAACTCTCAAATGTAGCAAGACATCCAGATGTTCCATACAAAACAATGTACATTTGTAGCAGGGCAAACTATGACAGACTTGCAAAATAGGTGGGAAAAAAAAAGCATTTTCAATCCCATTTGAAAAGCATATCACTCAAAAAATAACAAGACTAGACTCTGAATGCAGTTCCACTAACTGGCTTCCCTAAGCTTACTTTCATTAAGCAAAAGTGTATTTTCAATTATGGAAAAACAACAAAAGGAAACACTCCTTTTAGTTACATGTTCAGAACAATTTAGAATAGCACACGCATGTACAGTATCAAGGCCCTAACTTTTATCTTCTGATAGTTTTGCTCCATTGAACAAGTTTAAAGGCATCTAAGAACACAACTATTAGAATATATATGTAACAATTTGTCCAACTTGTCTGTTAAAAGAAGTTCCAGCTAGGAATTCAGCACTAGTGAACAAAGGTTGGAAGTTGTTCTTTTTTATTAAGACATGGAAATTGTTACAGAATATTCAGTGAAAAAATATTTACTGAATATGCTACAGGCCTTTGCTTCATAGAAGTAAAATGCCATGGAGCTATATATTCACAGTGTAGACAAAAGTGCGTTATCAAGTCTGATTTTGAAAATAGCCAAGATACTGCACTCGAAGCCTGTGCACAAGCATACTGCTTTATAGTTTTTTCACACTGACTTAAAATGATCCATTTAAAAAAAAATCAGATCAACAAGCTCTATCTAATAAAAGCTGATCAAACTAAAGATGAAATCCCTGCCCTAGAAATTAGATGTAGCTTTGCAGACTGCCTCTAGGCACCCTTCCAACTTCTGCATTTTTTTACTGCATTAACAAAATGTACCATGACTCGTACCTGTTTGGAAGCTTCTCAATGTGCAATACAGAGGAGTCATGAGCAGTTCTCTGGCAGGCAATCACACGCTTCATTTGAAGATTATATACGTATATGCCTTTCCCAATAGCAGCAAACACACACTGGAAAGAAAATTCAATGAAACAACTTACAGAAACAGATACTGAAAGATCAGCCTGCGTGTAATGGATTTCCAGCAGTACTATGACATCATCTAGGCCACATTATCTAGTTTGTTTCTGTCCTCACGTTACTTTATCCCAAACATACGGAACCAGCAATTACAGAAAAAAAATTGATTTTTTTTGAGAAAATGGGAGCTATATTCCCTATATACTAAGCAGTTGTTTCATTTCCATATTTTCATTCCGTAAATTACAGTCTAATCTGCATTTCGGCAATTAAACATTTATAATGTTTAATTTATAACTAAAATAATGCTCTGTGTTTTGACATACTCTTATGAAGAAGGACTGAGAATACAATAAACTGTTCTGCATTTTTGCCCTTTTTTAAATTTTATTTTAACTGAAGCTGCACATAGAGGTCTTGCTTAAGCAGAGGAGTGCAAAATACTTCGATTAGTACATATGTGGGGTTTTGAACATACCTTGTTTAGGTCACAGTATGCTGGTTCTTTTCCCTGAATGGCCTGCTTCCATCTACACAGCCCAAATATTAATGTCTTATAAGCAAGCTCACACTACACACTTCTGCACATTTTGTAAAGCTGGTAACCCAGTGCTGCTGACTAAGATTTCCTATATATATTCAACCATGTTTTCAATCATGTTTTGACACCTCTCAGAACTTTCTCCATTATTTTTTTTTTGTTTTGGTTTGGTTTTGTTGGGTTTTTTTCTTACTCATATTCGTAATGAGAGCTCCAGTAGCTCTGAGACTAAGCTCAGATTTAGCTCTCTAACAAATTGGAGGGGGAGGAAGACCCTGATTTTATTATTTTCTTATTTTCATGTGAGGCTGAATTCAGTAGCCTTGAACATCACTATTTCATTCCTACAGCTCAGCCTTATTGCCCTTACAGTCTTCCACCTTGAAACAGGCTTTTGAGTTTCATATAGTCTCACAGCTTTGCAAAAGATATTTTTCACAGATCACCTTTTCTGTTCTTGGTTGGCTGGTTGGTTGTTGTTTTGGTTTTTTTTGCACTAACCTTGGGAAAACCCTGGTTATCTCAAACCGAAGAAAATAACAGATGATGAAGCATAAATTGTACACCTACCTTAACAGCCAACTTCAAAACTCATACATGTATCAGAGAACAGACACACTCCTTAGCACTGTTTCCTAGTATTGTTGTAACTTTACTATTCCATTTGTTTCTAAATTATGTTTTGCCTACAAGCTCAAACTAGACAAGTGCATCTTCTCCAACTACTTAATTATCAAGCCTGCTGACAAAGTTCCTAACTGAAAAAACATTTTATTTTAGATGAAGAACAGTGTTCTGCTTTTAGATAACAAATAATAAAGTAATTAAGTATCAGAACACATTTTTTCACTGCTTTCTAAGTAGGAACTTTACAATACAGACAGCTCTGCCCTAAAGGTATTTCAGGACATAACAGTAGAACCACCTTTTCTTCCCACCATTTAAAACTCTCAAAATAAATAAAATTCTGTAGCAATTTGTTTAGTTCTGTTTCATGAATGGAAGAAAGTCCTCAGCAGCCTCAGATTCCACATTCAATGTTTAACTGCTTCTGAACTTCCCAAAATTATTTTGCCCTCCCTTAAAACTCATCTTGTGTAGCTTTCAAGCAGGAAGTGAAAATGTGAAGCCAAACTACAGAACTTCTCTTGAACAGGCCACACACTTTGCTCCTTCTAGAACCCACAAGGAAACCACTGGAAATTCTATTTTCAGAGACAACTACATCTCTTTCCTCTCCATTTCTCCCAGTGTCTCTCTCTCCAGTGTTTTAGGAATGCTGTTTTCACAAACACACAAATGCATCAGCCCTCAGACTACATTCAGGCTTTTCCACAGCTTTTATTTTGTTATAGTTCATGTATCTGAATCCATTTCCACTAATCCCTTTCTTAATCATTCCCCAGCATTGGGTCTACAGGACCCAAAACAGAATCCCATTGTACCCCAACCATAACAGTTGGTAACATTAAACAAAAGTAAGTAATGACCTGAGGAATTGTAGCATTTCCTGAACAGTAATTGGGTTCTGCCTGAATATTCTGATCAAGAACTCTTGGATTCTCTCCAAAGCATTAATACAGTAGACCAGATTTTGGACCCATATTTGTCCTTAAAACAGAGTATAGCTCATTTGAACAAAAGCAGCAGTACTTATTTGCTATTAAGACATGCACCTATTCTTTAACGTACTTCATAGTTCCCTCAGCTGTAACTGTCCAGAAGGTACATTGTTGTGAAAACTGCATTTCCAGAACCACAGAATATGAAAGATGTATCCCATCAAAACACACAGCTCCTGTTTATTTTTCTCTAGTGGTACTGTAAACAACCAATAAATCTTGGTCAGTCAAATGAAATGCTGGTGTGACAGTCCATTATGTTAGTTCCCATCAATACATTATAACCTTCAGTTAGCTCAATGACCAAAATTTTTATATAAAAGGTGTTGATTGTACAAAAAAAATACAGCTGTGTATTTTTTAAAGAAGCCTCTCATATTAAAACAAGCAAACCGAAAACACGGAACACTTGGCCTTCTGTGGTAAGGTCAAGCTGGCTCACTTTTAGTAGTTTATTCTGTTTAAAGTTTTTACCTCCTCATCAGATGTTAAGTGCTGAATTGACGTTTCATTTGGGCTTTGGGATAACTTTATTTCTGGCTGTACATCTGGATGAACACAAGAGTCCCAGAAGTTGCACTCAGATGCTTGCTTTGTCCAGTCAAGTGCATCCCAAACTATTAACTCACCCACATGAGAACCTGTCACGAAAGTCAAGTCTAGAGGGAAGAAAAACCCTACATATCAAAATCATGTGATAAAAAAAAAAAATTCAATTTCACACAAAATTACAACCCTAGGAAATTAAGAGAACATATTTTTTAGTGCAGCTATGTAGCACATGAGCATGTAACTGACTAGACATTTAATCACCTAGCATAGCTCAGATAAGCAAAGGAGATAAACTAGTAGAAAGCAGAAGGGGTTGATACCTGTAGTAGAGTAGACATAAAAAAGGTAATAGCTCAGTATTGCCCTAATGAGCAGCAGAGATTGCACCATCTTCCAGATGGATAATGGATCTATATGCGGGCCCACATCCACACACCCAGAACTTTCAGTTACCTTAGGATTATAACTGCAAAAATGTGACACGATTCCAACGAATGTATATACGATTTCAAGAATCAGAAGGAACAAGAAAAAATAGCTTTTTAAGCTTTCTCAACAGAAAGACATTCTAGAGTTCCATTCCCACCAATGACATTGCTTCTTTTGTGCCTTTTCTACATCATAACCTGCCTAGTTTCATTTCACTCTTAATCTATAAATAAAGTCATATTTTCACAATTCACTACCTTTGCAACTACACAAAAAGGTACATCTACCAGTCACAAAGTTCACTTGAGTTAAAGATTCGGTCTCAAGAAAACCTCCAAAGTTGAAATAGCCCACTGATAAATAACAAAAACAGTAACATTATAAAAACAACTCTTACCATTGACATTGACTAATGACAAAATATTATCCTGATGGTCAGCAAGGCGTTTTACTTCAAGCACATTCCAACCTTCAGATACATCATTAGAAGCAATCAACCTAAAAATTACTTAAAGATAGACAACTTGTTGAAATAAGCTTTATCATTTGGAAACAACCGTAGCTATGCCTAAATAAAACACATCATCTTCAGAAAGACAGAAGCTAAAATATACAGGAGACAGTACAAGATGTGCAAAGTCGCTTACCACCATTCATAACAATGAAAAAAAAACCAACAGGAATAAATTATTTGTGTTATTATTTAGCACTCTTACTACAGCAACTATAGGATAAAAAACTTCAGACTAGTAACTCTGAAATTCAGAGAATCGGTGAACATCAGAACTTAGAGAAAGCAGAAGTGAAATGTATCAGACATCCTTAGGGAAAAGTAAGCTGAAAGTGAAACATCTTTAAGGGCTCATCTGACTGAAAACTATTATTCAAAAGGATACAATATCCTCTAGTAAGGCAATCAAGATCTCCAGCAATTAAGACTTCATTTTAAGTAGCCCTGGAATTTATTTTTATGGTATCTCAAGGACACTAAAAAAGAACTGAGGGAAGTTCACGTGGAAGTTTAGATTGTACAGCAGTGTCTAAACACAAGAAGACTATTTTTAATTTGCTTCTGATTCTTTGATCAGAATATCAAATTGCTATATTTCTGCTAAGTGTTTAACCATATTGAGCAAAGTCTGTTGTTTTGCTGATTCAGTGACATACTTTTCCTCCTGAATTTTTTTTTCCATATTTTGAAATGTCAGTAATTGTATGGAACATTCTTATCTAAAAGATCCTCCACTGACTAACAGCTGATAATACAGTTTGCATACAGAGAAAACCCTGTCTCCAAGTGAGCAACTGAAATCACCATACTGTCCCACTATAGCTTTGGACAGTACAATGAGATCAGCAGTATCTCATACTCCTGACAATCTGGTAAGGAGGCTCCAGAGAAGCCTCGGACCTTACAGTTCAGATAACGGAGTCAGATGTTTTCCAGAAGGACAAATGTATATTTCCATAATCAGATCTGGACAGGTGGCAATAAAAGTAATAAAAATAACAGAACACAGAAGTTTTGTTATGCAGATCGCACCAAAATTCCCAAATGATATTAGCATTGTCTGCCTCTTTTTCAAATAAGGAAAAAACAGAGAAGGTTGCTAATCACATCCTAATAGCTTTTACTCTTTTTATACAATTCCAGCAGCATGCTCTTTATATATATATTTTGTAAGCAGGTGTTATATAAGAATAGAACATCTAATAAAAATGCAACATACTCACTTAACTCTTTGCCAACAGCTGCCGCGACACAATTTTTAGGCAGTTCAACCAAAGCACTGACCCCTTTAAGAAAATTCAGGAGATAGGGGAGAAAAGGATATTTATAGGTCACAAACAAACAGCAAATTGCTAATTTGTTATTAATAAAATTCTTCTTAGTCTTCCTTCCACTTATGAGTTATTGTCAAAATAAAAGTATATTGAAGTAAAAGCTAAACAGTATTGGAATTTAAGAGACACCTCAGATGAAGGCAGTCAGCAGTTTTGGTCCTGTATCCAGCAGAATCCTGAACGTCAAACTTGAGGTGAAGCTGAGAATTAATAATCTTTTTGTTCTGTATACTGTTGTTTATGTCCTAATGCTGGACAATATTAAGTACACTGTGGCAACTATTGAGATTCCTAACACATGCAGTACCAAAACTATTAGATACTGATACTACCACAGTATGCATGATACCGTGCAGAGCCAGCCAAAGAACAGGGCACAAAATAAAATGTCCAGCTTGCTGCTACTCTGCCTTTATCCTGCACAGAACTCCCCCAGTCTGTGCTGTTAGACCGCTGAAGGAAAATTCCCCCATCAATAAGCAATCTGCCTCTTTTCCCTCAAAGGAAGCAAGAGATGAGGTGGGAACAGAGGATCCATGCTGCAAACCCCACTGATTCCTTTTACATAAGTTTCAATAGCACCTCACACTAAGCACTACATCACCACTTACAACTGATACTTGGCAGGATACTTTGTAGTGAAACAACAGAAGTACTAATACACTCAAAGATTCAAAATATTTTGTCTAGAACTACTCCATTCTGTGACAGAAATAAAGAAAATATTGGTTCCAAATTTGAATTTGATTCTCAGCTTTATAAGTATCTTTGTAAAGTATGGCAATAAAATGCAACCATTTTCTTCACATGGACAGATAATATACAAGCTTATTAATAGAAAGGCATGATTAACATTGAGATCTGATTAGATTTACTGTACTTCTATCAAACCTGCATTTTCTACATCAAAAGTACTGATTCTTAATAACAAAAATAAATATTTACTGCTGAACTACTAGAAAGCCTTTACTTAGGAATAGTATAACTCCCACTCACTCAGAGAGAAAGCCAGTCAAAGGATTTGGTCCACATTACAGCAAACACATAAATCTGCATCCAAGCTCTAGCCCTATAAATCCAAGCTAATGTAAAGGCTACTGAGATTTGACATATTCTAAAATTCACACAGCACAAGCGATCAAGAGCAGTCTTAATTCTGAATATTAAGTCTGATATTTGAAAAATAGAGTGGCTCTAATAAATAATGTTATCGTTAGAATGAAAGAGAATTTGCCAAGTTGGTTTTGCATCATTATACAGATTCATTTTACTTGCACTTCAACAGCTATAATGAGCCATTTACATTTTTACCTGCATCAGTAAGATGACTGGTCTTACACAAGAGATCTAATTTTCGGTTCCAAACACATAGATCACTCCCTCCAGACAACCATACATCCAGTCTTTGAAGAACTGTCAAACACTGCAGAACAAAAATCAGATATATTCTCCTTCCAAAAGTTCTACAGGGAATTTCTCAGTAAAATGATCACAAGCTTTAGCTAGATAAAGGTCTAAATACTATGAAATACAGTATTAGGGTGTCACTTTCGTGAGAAATACAGGTCTAATTGCATACACTGATACATTTTTCCATCAACAACAACAAACTGATTTTGCAGTTATTTTCTTCTATTGTTAACAGCCATGAGCTTGTTTGACTGAAGTTTGCCTTTTCTAAGACAGTAAGAAAACCAAGCCACAGAATTACCTCTGTTCTACATCCTTTGAAAAAGAGAACAGAGGCATTAAGACTACCAAAAACAAAGAATTGCGTTCCCTCTCAGCCACTCATTATGCACCTGTTCTTAAACCACACACTGTTGCTTATTTTAACACACCTGCCTATATGGCTCATCATCCATCCATAATAGATTCTCATATACAACAAAACAACTGACATACCAAGGGTCTTCTCAGCTTACCTTTACAGTAGAATGGAAACATGACACTTTTTGAACCTGTTTGCCACTAGTGCAGTCCCAAACCTGACTTCATTCATTAAGGAAACTGAAAGGTTTTAATATATTATAACTGCTGTGTTTATATCTAAATGACAGATTGGGAAATAGGTATGCAGAAACTTGGTCTTTTGAACCGTGACAGTCTTCCCAGTAAATAACATATTAATAAAGGTCTATTCTGGATTCATTTTTGTTGCAAGGATTCTGTCTACTTGTGAGCAGTAACTAGTAAAATCCCAGGGAAAACCAATTATACCTACTAGATATTATCTGCCAATAAATTTACATAACCTTCAGCCTATCTCAATGCTACCTTTAGAAGTAAAAACCAACTAAAAACCCATAGAAATTTGAATCATCTCCGGATCAAGGGATACAATAACTGTTCTATCAGCCGATGCTGTTAAAATAAGATGTTTTTTTTCTTCAGAAGCATCTGACGAAGAAAATGGTGCTATAGCTGTTATCTTGTGTGTGTGTCCACGAAGTTCAAGAATTTTTTCTCCAGTCTGAAAAACAAAAACATGGAAAACTGTGAGTAAAATTTGGAAATGCCTGTTGCAGCATAGGTACCAAATAATTTCTGAAAGCAAGAATTCCTGGAGTCTAAAATCTCCCTTTCTGAAGTAATTTATGGATTTACTTCTTACAGCCTCCAATACTTCAAGATTTTACCCTGAGTTAAATGACATACTAAGAGTAAGTATGAGTTATCACATACTAAAAATTAAGAGTGAAAAAAAATAAATCCTCTACAAGACCTTAAGAACTTCTGTATTAAACTCATCTCATTTTAATGAAAATATTTGCCATTCACCTTTTTTAACAGATACTTCAGTAATGCAAATTTGTTGACAACCCTCTCTTGAGAAATTAATTTTATTAAATTTTAATTATTAGAAAAACTTGATCTTTATGATAAATTCAGTACTGCCAATTTCCTGGCAGCTTTATTTAGTATGTATCACAGAACCAGAGAATCATCCTGATTGGAAAAGACTTCAAAGATCATCAAGTCCAATCACAACCTAAATCCCCCCCCCATAACCTAATCTATCCATTAAATGCTTAAATCACCTCGCTAAGCACTACATCTATACTTCTTTTAAACACTTGCAGGGATGGTGACTCCACCACCTCCCTGGGCAGCCTGTTCCACTGTCCAACCACTCTTTCAGTAAAGAAATTCTTTCCAATACCCAGTCTAAGCCTCCTGTGGTGCAGCTTCAGGCTATTTCCTCTCATCCTGTCATTATTCACTTGGGAGAAGAGGCCAACTCCCACTTCCCTACAACCTCCTTCCAGGTAGTTGTAGAGAGCAATGAGGTCTCCCTTCAGCCTCCTCTTCTTCAAACTAAACAATCCCAGTACCCTTAGCTGCTCCTCATAGGGCTTGCTCTCCAGACCTTTCACTAGCTTCATTGCTCTTCTCTAGATTCGCTCCAGCACCTCAGTGTCCTTGTAGTGAGGGGCCCAGAACTGGACACAGCACTCCAGGTGTGTCCTCACCAGTGATGAGTACAGGGGCACAATCACCTCTCCTGCTGGCCACACTATTCCTGATGCAGGCCAGGATGGCACTGGCCTTCTTGGCCACCTAGGCACACTGCTGGCTCATGTTCAGCTGTCAATCAGCATCTCCAGGTCCCTCTCTGCTGGGCAGCTCTCCAGCCACTCCTGCCCAAGCCTGTAGTGCTGCTGGGCATTGTTGTGACCGAAGTGCAGGACTTCTAAATTTTAAAATACTGTTCTCTTGAGTTCACACAACTTCTGCTCCTTAGCTCTTCTTTTTAAACTAACATTTGAGAGACTCTTTCCATTTCTACATTTTCAAACAGCAGCTCTGCAGCAAATATATTTATTCTGCTTTTTTTGCTACTAGACATTTCCAATTGTGTGCTCCAGAGCACACAAGCTAACCCAAATAAAAAAAGCCAACCTGAGCATTCCACAGAAATATGATTCCATCATCTCCTGCAGAGGCAAACCTGAAATGAAGTTTTAAAAGAAATAAAATAAATAAATACAGGTTGTATCAGACTCTGACTTTAAAGAATCCCACAAATAACAGTAAACCCTAAAATCAAATCCTGTTAGCCAGAATCAACTGAGAGCGAGACATGTAACAAGTTACAATGCATATATCTGAGTTCAGTTCATGAGTAGAGAAGACCAGTACTTATCATGATACTTTAAACTGTGGCTTAAAAGAACTCCTAAAGAGAATGCATTTAATGTGCTAAATTTGATTTCTCCTAAAAATCCAGCTGGAGGGTGTGCTATATGAGGAGAAAACCACATTCCTATTAGAATGTTGTGCTGGGTTGGTGTGGCATGGTGTTGGTAGCAGGAGAAGGGACCCTAAGGATGGCTCCTGAAAGCTCTCCTGGCTCCAAAAACTCTGGCCACACCACTGGCTGAGGTGAAGCCCATCAAGGCCATGAATGTGCCTCTGCGATTAGCATACTAAAGAAGGGGAAACAAGTTGATTTAAGACCTGAGAGCAGTGGAGTGAGGGAGATGAAGAGCAGAGGGGAGAGCAATGGTGAGAGCAATGCCAAAGTGGAGGTACAAGGCCAGTAAGGAAGAATGGGGAGGAAGTGCCCAAGCAGAGGTTCCCCCGCAGCCTGTGGTGACATGGCAGAGGTCCCCCTGAAGCACATGGAGAAGCACACGGAGAAGCACAGTGGAGCAACCCCTAAAGGACCAAGCTGGAGCAGATGCAGACCTGCACCAGTGAAGGTCCTCATGCCAAGGGGGATGACTGTTCCCAAAGCATGCTGTGACTCTGTGGGAAGCCTGCACTGGAACAGTCTGTTCTTGAGGGACTGTACCTCATGGGAGGTGCTCAGAAGGGAGAGAGTCATGAAGGACTTTATCCCATGGGACAGACTCTGCAGTGAAGGAGGGAAAGACTGTGAGGAATCCTCCTCACTGTGATAAACATGTGATGGACTGACTCTAACCCCTATTCCCTGTCCCCCTCTACCGCTGGGGGGAAGGAGGTAGAGAAATTGGGAACAAAGTAATTTGGGTCCAGGAAGAAAGGAGGGGTGGGGTAAGGTATTTAAGATCTGGTTTTGTTTTGTCTCTGTCCTGTTTGCATTTGATTAGTGATAAATTATTTTTTTCCCCAAGGTGAGTCTGTTTTACCCTTGACCATAAACAGTGAGTGAATCCTCCTTGTTCTTGTCTCAACCCATGAGCTTATAGATGGATTCTTCTCCTCCTCATCCCACAGTTGGGGAGGGGTGAGTGAGCAGCAGCATGGTCCTTTGTTGTTGGCTGGGCCTAAACCACAACACTTTAATCCCACTTTAAGAAAGTCTGACCTAAATTCAGTCTTTTTCCCTGAGCTAGAGTGAGTTTCTCTACATTTGCCCTTTACCAACACCACTGCCACATTGTAGCTGAAGCACACATCCCAGCTATCCCAGTAAAGGCAGATCCTGAGTTGAGAAAGCGTGCAACAGAAGCATGGCCTTCCACATAAAACTGTATTCAGTTGTTACTTGTAAATACACCTACCTTCTAAAATTTTCCTTTTGCTTTAAACCTTCACCAAGGGTTAATAAACAGTTAATAGTTAGAGAACTAAGATTTGTACTATGTGCAAGAAAGTCCTGTTTTTTTTGTGATTTTCTAACCAGGATTTCTGTTTAAATATAAAGGTTTATTGTAGCGTCAGTTATCCTACAGTTACATTCTGTTCACCAAGGTGGAGGCTCAGGGGTCACCTGATTCTTTTCCAGTTATCACCATTATCTGTAACCCTGTCTGTTTCCTGAAGAAGCAAAGAACAGTCAAATGAGCAACAAAAAAAGCTATTGTTATAATGTGTTATGAACTCTGTTAAGTTTAATGTGTCAAATGCTAGAGGTATTACATGCAATCTTATTTCAGACCCTTTTTTGGAAGTCTCTTGCTGAGGTTTGGCCTTCTTTAGCGATCTTCCAATCAATATGACCCTTACTCCATGTTCAAGAAGTACAAGAGAAAAGAAGAAAAAAAACCCAGCTTTCTGTTACATTTATACAGGATTTATTTAGTATCTTCAAAAACCAATCTGAGAAAATTTTCCACTCACTGGTTTTAGCTGAGCCACTGAGAAAACAAGAAAATCCTTCTGCAAAATTCTCAATAAGATATTATCCAAAGACCTGAAGCGTGAAACTTGCCTTACAACAGTTGACAAAAAGCACACAATGGAATACCTACAGACACTAAATAAAAACATATGAGAAGCTAAGTAACAATACTAATTTTATTGAAAAGAATCAAGTGAAAAATATCAGCTGTTTAACAATCCAGAAACTACCATATTCATGATAAATAAAAACTTAAAATCACTGTCCAGTGAAGCGACTCTATTAAATTCCTCAAACTCTCAGAATATTAACCAGCTATATAACCTACTCCTTATCCATATCCTATTTTATAAGCTGTCATCAATGTGGCCACCCAGCTCTTAAGTTTTACACTGATTATCATTAGTTTAGCTTCAATCATTTACCTGCTGCCATACAAGGAAGCTCAAAATAGTAAAAAGATTTCTTCGCATCAGACAGTGCACACAAAATAAGAATACTCTGGAATTTCTATAAGGATCAATTGCATTTATTGTGCATGTGTTTTGGGAAAAAAATACTTTGTGGAAAGGCATTTTTAATAACGTGTTTGGAAAAGAAAAAAAAATGAAAGAAACCCCACAAGATTTTTCTATTTTTATATGAATCTTCTGATTGATTGCTATAATGCAAAACAACAAATTTTATAGTATTGCATGTAACTCTTCTGACATATATATTCATGACATTAAGAATGAAAAATGACAACTATAAATTCTCCATGGTGTCTACAGTGAAATTCGTATGTCACAGAATCTTAGGGGGCTGGAGGGGACCTTCAGTCCAACCCCCCTGCCAGAGCAGGATCACCCAGAGCACATCACACAGGAACACGTCCAGGAGGCTTCTGAATGTCTCCAGTGAAGGAGACTCCACAACCTCTCTGGGCAGCGTGTTCCAGTGCTCTGTCACTCTCACAGGAAATAAGTTCTTCCTGATATTCACATGGAACCTTCTATGCTTCAGTTTGCACCCATTACCCCTTGTCCTATCACTGGTCATCACTGAAAAAGCCTGGTTCCATCGTCCTGACACCTGCCCTTAACATATTTGTAAACATTGACGAGCTCGCCCTTCAGTTTCCTCCAAGCTAAAGAGACCCAGCTCCCTCAGCCTTTCCTCATCAGGGAGATGTTCCACTCCATCATCTTTGTGGCTCTGTGCTGGACTCTCTCAAGCAGTTCCTTGTCCTTCTTGAACTGAGGGGGCCAGAACTGGACACAATACTCCAGATGCGGCCTCACCAAGGCAGAATAGAGGGGGAGGAGAACCTCCCTTGACCTACTAACCACACCCTTTCTAATGCAGCCCAGGATGCCATTGGCCTTCTTGGCCACAAAGGCACGTTGCTGGCTCATGGTCATCCTCCTGTCCACCAGGACCTCCAGGTCCCTTTCTCCTACACTGCTCTCCAGCAGGTCAGCCTCTAGCCTGCACTGGTACATGGGCCTGTTCTTCCCCAGATGCAATACTCAATATGTACTCATATATTTACAAAATTATTAGAAAATAAGATTCTGCAGGCATTCCAAATTTGGAAGAGACCACCTGCTTTAACACTGTGCATAGGGAGGGAGAAAACTTTCTTTCACAATGGACCTGCTGCACACTGCAAGGATATAAATGTATTCTTACTCATGTTAACCTTGTGTAGTTTATTGATGGATATATTAGAAATCCCCTTCTGTGCCTAATTCATAAGAGATAAAAAACTACTACAACTCCTTAACACAGAGACTCTTGCATATTACTTAAGTTCTTAAAGGTTTCCTACTTATTCCTCCACATCAGCCAAGAGTCACTATGTTAACTATTAACTGAAGGCTTCACAATCTTACTTACATGGCAGATAAATATTTCCTCTCTTGCAGAATTACATTAAGTTAGACAACATGCAAGGCTAATTATAAAAAACTAGGCTAGAAGCCAGGTAATAGCATAAAACGATCATAATTCATTCTCTCAGACACACTTCCAAAGTAACAATTTTAAATCTAGTGACTTCACTTCTGCTTAATAATCAGTTTTCCAGTTTTTAGATAACTCTGTCCTCAGAGTTTGCAATAAAGTTGGACCTAGCTACAAGGATCTAAGAACAGAACAGATAAAGACTGCCAGGGAATACACATAAAAAGTGCACAGAGCTAAAAACTGGAAGAGAGAAACAAAGGAACTGTCGGATTTCAAAGAAGTGCAGCAAGTTGAACAAGATCAAATTGGAGGAGATACATAAAGCAGAGATTAGGCATATTTTGAATTTTAGTAAGTAGTCATTCTGAATACAGTGGCAAAAATTTCACAATTTGAGAAGTTCAGGAAAGAGTTGTGTTTACTAAAGCTCAAGTGAATTCAGCTCTAGAGTTTCAGAATAAAGTGTAACAAAAGACTGGAAAGGAACAGCAACATTCAATATTGTTGAAATGTCATGTTCAATAGCTACAGTGTATCTGTACCAGTCTATTACATTCTTTTGTAGGACCAAAACCACTGTTCTCAATTCAAAAACATAAAACACATGTATCCACTAAGAACAGAGCTGACATTACTGCATATTGTTCTGGGAGAAAAGTGTGTGTATACAGGTACAGAAAGGAACATTCAGATGAGGAACTGACAGAAGAAGGACTGGAAGAGCTTAAGGCTTTCAAACAAAAAAAATTGTACCAAGAAATGTAATCCCATCACCATTATTTTCCCATGGAAGTATAACTGAAAAGAGAAGCCAAAAGATATAGTACCAAAAAAAGGGAGTGTTCACCCCTTGACTTTTTTCATTTCCTCCTCCACCAAAAATAAAGATTATTTTTGAAAATGTAGTAGTATTTTTAAATACTTCCTGAAGTGTTGCCAAAGAAACAATCTAAAATGCAATTTCATACCTGCAATCATCTATTTGTACTAGAAATCGTACTATATCTTGATGGCCTTTCAACACAAGGAGCTCCGTGTAAGGATTCTGTGTTTGTTCTTCACCAATTGTCTGTACAGATGATTTCTAAAATTAATAAAAAAGGAATTAGATTTTATTTTCTACTGACATAATTATTTCACCAGGTCTTTGCAATGTCTAACAACCCACATATAGACCCATGTCATTGCATAATTCTATTTGAAGTTAAATTAAATTTCTGTAGTATCTTTTTGCCTTATTAAAAACCATTACAAAAAATAATATATTAACATTTAAAGTAAATAGTATCTTTCTTTATGTAGCAGGTGTTTAAAAACATAATATAGCATTTACTGTTTAACAAAAGCATTTTGTACTGCTTTAAGCACTGACACAGCAAGAAGAAAACCCAGTTTCGTCATTGGCTTTCATGTGGAGCCAGCTTCATTATTCAATTCACCAAACATTCAGTTTTTCATTAACTTACATCTCTTTGACATGTCTGTGAACCTCTCATATGTTAAAACCCTATATACAAATTACTTACTTAAAATAAATAAGAATAACTGCTGCTCTGTTACATAATATGTAAGTCATTCACTGGACTCTATTCACAAAATACCAGGAAAGGTCAGTAAAATATTGCATATGACTGCAGTTTCAAGGCACAATAGTTCTGCTAATCCAAATCATCAGCTTGTTTCAACAGAAGACAACTTTTTTGTATTTAAGGTCTTCCACATTCTGGAGCAACTTGCTATTAGACATAGTTAAAAATAATAATAATAATATCTAAATAGCTCATTAATATCTCAGAGACAGCACTTTCTTCCTTCTGGATTTATTTTATGCAACAGTCAATATCATCTTACTTCCAGGACAGTCTTTTCTTTGAGAACTTCAACTGAACCTACACAGTAAACCAGTAACTACTGAATATTGTACAACATGCAGCATATGTGACAGGTAATCCTACATGAAAGACAAACATTATCCTCTGAAGCTTCAATATTTTCTTGCAGAAACAAGAAATTATTCTCTGTTACTTCCATATTGGTACTATGATACTATTCTTCAGAAATTAAGAATGACAAAGTTAATGAATA